ATAAAAAGTCCCTTTGTTCCAACCACTGGCCTCATTCCCTAGAGGAAACTACTGTTAAACAAATAAACAAAAACCACAATTGGAGTTTCTGTTTTCCTATTTTCATATACACATATTTTCTTCAACTATATGTGTGTGTATATATATTTAGCCTACATTGGCTGGATCTAAGGAACACCACAAACATCAGATAAATCTCTCATGTCATATAGGCCCCAGGAAATAGGAAATAAGCATTCTTAGAGCATTTCCTGATGAAATGCTCTGCAGGGGGACCTTGTCTCTGACAGTAGTAGAAGCTATCATGTTTCCTGGGAGGAAGTTACATCTTATTTCAAGCACTGGGAAAGCAGGACCTGGCTTTGCATTAGTAAATTAAAGCAAGGCAGTGAATTCTCAAGAGTATATAAGGATCTGGTTGAGGCCCAAGGAGCTTTGTTCCATGACATTAAATTTTCTGATTATTGAAAATTTATGTAAACGATCATTAGTGAGCAGACATGTAGTGAACAAGTTTTTCTCCTTTTTTAAAATTCTATTTTGAAAAATCTTCAATCTTGTAAGATTACAAAGAACTTCTTTTGTGTAGAGACTCCATTCCTGTAGAGCAAAGGATACCAACCCAGGATCACATGCTGTATCTAGTCATCACAGTGCTTTAGTCTCTTTCAACCTGGTGCACTTCCTCTGTTTTTTCTGGACTTCCATGACCTTGACATTTTTGAAGGTATCGGATAATCATTTTATAGCCTGATTTTTTATTTTTCTTTTCTTTTTTTGGAGACAGAGTCTCACTTTGTTGCCCAGGCTGGACTGCAGTGGTGTCATCATAGCTCACTGCAACCTCAAACTCCTAGGCTCAAGCAATCCTCCTGCCTTAGCCTCTCAAGTAGCTGGAGTCTACAGACATGTGCCATTATGCCCAGCTAATTTTTCTATTTTTTGTAGAGATGGGGTCTTGCTGTGTTGCTCAGGCTGGTCTCAAACTCCTGGCCTCAAGCAATCTTCCCACCTTGGCCTCCCAAAGTGCTAGGATTACATTCCTTAGCCACTGTTCCCAGCCGAGAATATCTTTCAATTTGGGTTTGTCTCATGTTTCTGTACAATTAGACCAACTGTATGTATTTTAGGCCAGAATGTCACAGATTTGGTGTTCTTTTCATTGTGTCGTACCCTTCTGTCCAGTTACTGATGAGGTTACTGTTATTCACTTGACGCACAAGGGGTTCCAGGCTTCTCTTGTTTTTTTCCTTAACCCAGCCTTGTAACTGCCTATTATCTCCAAAGAGCCCTGGTTCTGTGTGGTGGACAGTAGCGTTTAGAAACCACGATCTGGGTGCCAGGTGTGCTTATGACTATTGGTGTACTACTGCTCTCAGGCCTTGTCATAGGATAGAGCTAGGGAACTTTTTATCTATGGTTACTTCTGTATCCATCTTATATGTTTGCACAAATGCTTCTAATTGCAATCTAACACCACAGGGTTGTTTTTTACAAATATGATAGTGCTCTATCCTCAGCAGATTCTATCATGTCAAAAAATCTTGAATTTGTTGACTAAATGTACCATGACCCCCCTGCACTTTCCATCCCTGCATCCCTATGCCCAGCTCTGACACTACATTGTGCCCACCTTTAAGGAGAGCTCAGGAAAGGGAATCACTCTTCCCTCTGCCTAGAATGCTCCTCCCGCAGAGCGCCAGAGGATTTGCTCTCTCTCTACTCAAACCTCGCATAGAAGCTTCCATAACCACCTTATAAAACAGCACTTCTCCAGAGTCATTCTCTATCCCAGCAGCCCTTAGTTCCACTTGACATATATTCAAGTGTCTGTTCTCCTCCCATCCTGTCCTGGAATATAAGCTCCCTGAGGAGAGACTTGGTCTGTTTTGGTTCACTGCTAAATATCCCCAGTCCTACAGAAGTTCCTAGCACAAAAGAGATGCTTCATAAACATTTGTTGAATGAGTGAGTAAATGAAACAGAGAGGTGCTTACGAATGAACCTCAACACTGTGACACAGGGGAGAGAAACAGAAATCATGGATGGTGAGACCAGTGACATAGAGCTACATATTAATGGTATGGCTTTGGCTGTATGTATGCAGAATTCCATCCTTCTGATCCTTTGTGCACAAAAAAACGCTCCACCCTCTCTATTGGCAGGACTGAGAAGGCAGGATGTATTTGTGGTAGAGTTCCATCAGCAGCAGGAGCCTTTAATTTTTCTTGCTTTTTCTGTTCCAGATGAGACAGAAGGACCCAGTGAAAGGAATGACAGCAGATGACTAAAGCCACCCCTACCCCCTCTGCACTGTATGTACCAAATTTCTCAGTGTGAATGTCACAGAAGCTAAAATCAGTTTGGGTTCTCAAGGCCTCAGCAGTTCACAATGGAGTCAGAAAACCTACTTTATTCCTTGTCCTTCCCTCTAGTAATGATGATGACTCCCATGCTAAACAGCTCTCAGGCTCCCACTGAAGGAGATTATGGCTATTAGGACATTTCAGGGACATGTTTTATAAATAACTGCCCAGATAGAGACACGGATAGGGTGGTAAGAAGTGGAGGTGGGGGCAGTGGACGTGGAAGTGGAGTTCATCTACTGCTAGTCACTCTTCCCCTCTCACAACCTGAGCCATCATCATGCTGGCGCACAACCTGCACCTCCCGTGCCGGAGCCAGCTCCTAACTCCTGAATGCTGGCATTCCCTGCCCTTCCCTTAAAAAACTTGCTGGCCAAACAGCTTTTCTCAGCATCCTTTGTTGTGTCTGGTGCTTCATTTTCTTCCTCTTTGTATCCCGTCCCATACTAAGTAGCTGTTCTCATCAGAGGTGACATCTTTCAGATGTTGGGAGAATGTTTCTGTCTAGCTCACAGGGCCAGAATGGGGTGTCCCTTGTTTCATGTTGTTACTCTTCCCCAAGCCCCTTCCTTCTATTAGCTCCCAGCACTGCTTCCTCAGTGCTCTGTACTCATGTTATTGTAACAGCTTAAAGTGGTCTCAGTTGTGGAATGACAAACCTGCCCTGCTCCCAGTTAGGCTCTGAGAGAACATTACTTTATCAAATAAAAACAGCCCTAGCACTAAGAGGCTAAGGAAGCCTAGGGTCTCACCAGCAGTGATGCAAACCTCTGCTCTCTCTCCCTGCTCCATGTCTCTGAAGGCAGCTTCTCGGAGATGGAGGGGTAGGATTAAGTGGACTGTTGCAATGCCAGCTCCTCAGTCACCACTCAGGCTTAGTGCCCTGTCTCCTCCCATTCCCCTCCCCATTGACTGGCATCCTTCCTCCTTTTGAAATTCCCCCATTCAAGATGATTTATAGCGTGTTTCTATTTTCCCGTTGCCTCCTTAATAATTGCATTTCTCTTCTAGTTTTGCAAGACAGTGGTCAACAGGAAGGCCCAGCAGCTCCACCCTCCCGAGTGACAGGCCATCTTCGGACGCAGCCTTTCTGTGCCCATTCTTCAGGCAACTTTCAATCCCTTACTGTAGCTAATTCTAGATGCCCTTTAATATTGTAAACAAATAGACCGTCTGGTATTACAAAGCCCATGTGTGCGGGAGCCCACGCCTCTGAGATATGTGTAGGTTGCTGTATTTACAGCTCCTCCCTCTCTCTCCATTGTGTTCTGACCCATTTCTCTGTGTGCCCCCACCTTTATTTCCAAGTGACATTTTTAGTCTTTCAAAATAGCTGCCTTTTGTGATGTGGTGATTTAAATGATTACGTTCATTTGTTTTCAACCTTGGGATAAACTGAGGTATTTTGCTTCCTGGGCAGATCTTTGCAATTTTGAGTGCTCACCTGGGGAGAGAAGATGAGTTACAAATACAGAGTTTTTCCCCCCAGTTCCACAGAATAGCAATGTGGCTTTGTAACTCTGACTTCTGCTCCCACTATCCCATTGTTAGAGTGCTCTAAGCACCACGGAGGTACCCAAGGCCTAGCCAGTCTCTGTTTAAGAAAATTTAACAAATACAAATAACCCCTGCCCCAGTCATTGCATCTCTGGTCACTATTCTTAGAAACACCTATGGTTTCCCAGCCCTCCTGTTGCCCACTCTGTCTGATTCTCTCTGCAGAGCCTACAAAACACCCCAATCAAGTCTCCACCTGCAGGGAATTGTCCAGCGTGGCCCTCAGAAGTGAGTCTACCCCATAGATACAGATCAGTGTGATCCCTGAGGAGCTCTGTATGTCCATGCTCCTCTTCCCTTTTGGGTTGGTGCTGCCACTCAGCAATAATCCTCTTTTCTCTGTGCTTTCTTAGATCCCTGTCCTCTGTCTTTGAGGCTGGTTAGGACATAAGAGTCCTGATCTTTTCATTCTGCACAAAATGAGCATGCAAAAAGCTTTCTTCCAGCAGAACATGTTCCCTCTTGTCTCCAGTTGCTGGAAAGGAATTTGGGGATCAAGAACTCAGCTCATCCTGCCCCCATGCTGAGTTCTGTCCTGGACAATCAAAAGCAAGTAGTGATCATAGTATAGAACTCTACCAAAGCAAGCTGGCGAAGAAGTCCAGGCTGCAGGGGAATAGAAGCTGCTGAGTGCTTCATAGTTTCCTACAACTTGGCATAACCCGAGTATGAGTATGCCTTCCTAGTGGGAGGATCTGAGATAGCTATGGTGTCACCTGACATTCCTCCAACCTTGTGAAGTATGTTGGCTTGATCCAAGCCCATGCTAGCCTGGGTGCATCTGCTAATGAGAGAGACCAAATCTCTTTTGGGGGGAGCAAGAAGTGGGATGAGATAATTTATCCTTGTTTTTGTGAGTGTGTTTGCCTTACTCATTTCTAAGTGCAATAAGGGAGTGTCTCTCACAGGATTGCACCTGTGACATCCTGATGAATGCTGCCCTGTGGCCCTGCTGGGGCAGGGGTGGACAGATTCAGACTCCTCGGCATGGTTAGCTCTGACCTTCACCCAGGTCGCTTTGGGAACAGGGAGATGTCCTGCTACAGACAACTTCCTCTGTATTAGTCTCCTCACCTTGAGGGGTCTTTAGTAATCTGGGGCATTTCTGCTGGTTATTAGCATCTCAACTGCTGGTAGCATTTATTCAACTGGGAAAGTTGGAGAAGAGGCATTCCTACTGGAGAAAAATGTAAATGTTTTCCTACAAGCTCTGTATTAGCTATTAATTATATTTGTGCTTAAAGATTTCCCTTCTTCATTCATCAATTAGGTGAAGTCCAGATGTGGGTTATCTTGGGAGAAACAAGCTGTGATATTCTAAACAGTTGATTATGTGGTTTGAGGGTCAGCAGATGTTAGTCTCCTTCCTTCAGCTCTTCTTTGAGATCCACACATATCACTTGAGCTCTAGTGGGGGTTCCTCCACCTCCACCTGTTGCCCCAGTTTGAAAGAGCTGAGGCTCTTGCCCACATAAACATAAAGGAGGGATGTCCCTGGTCTGTTCCATCCCCATGGATGGTGTTGCTGCTGGGCAACAGTGTTGGCTTCTTTTAAGTACCTCCTTCCCTCCTTAGCCACCCCCAAACTGACTGGCACTAAAGGGACTTATGATAAAGGCTCAGCTCCAGGGGTAGTACCTGAGCATGTGCCACACCCCTTCAGACTAGCTGCTTCCATTAGATTTCCAGGGTCATAGTCCCAACTGGAAGCAGCAGTGCCTCTGTAGGAGGGGTACTGGGCTCTGGCCTTCTCATGAAGAGAGGTCAGGGACAGAGTCAGTATCGTGGGCACATGTGTATCTTCCCAAGTACTTCTTTTACAATCCCTACTGGGACTCCCAGACTTATTTTGGTTGGTTCCTAGTGCTACTTCTTTTACAAACTACACTTTGTAGAACTGATTAGATTACCTTGTTTATTTAATGTGAGTTTGTGCCTTTTTGTCTCAATCTTCCAATACAGGTATATTGGGAAAAAAGCAGTCTAATAAAATCCTAGACAGAGCTTTCTGGAGTCCAGCTTATTGATGTCTTCTACGTTCATTTCCCGAATTAGATATCCTCAAACTCGTACCGATGTCCCCCATTTTACCAGGGCAGGATTAGGAAAAGGTACGTTTTCTCTGAAAATTTTTGCAGGGGGAGCTCTGTAAATTCAAACATTCCCTCGTCAATTTACATATGCAAACATTGCATATCTGAATGTAATTGGGCCATTTTCTTCTAGGGCAGTATTTCCTTTGGCATTTGTCTCCCCTCCTCTACACATCTTCCTCTTTATCCACCCTACCAAGCCAAACATTTGTTTAAAGTAAGAGTCCTTAACCCGGCTTCCGGGTCTGTGAACGTCATGAAGCTTGTTTGTAAAACTGTGTGTGCAATTTTCTAAGGGAAGTCATGGCTCTCAAAGGAATCCCATGCATTTCCGCCCCCCCCCTCCAAAAAAGATTAAGAACTAATGACTTGAAGGAAATCACAGTGAATCTTTGGCAAAGTAAGTTATCATTTCGTGTTTGGTCTTGAATATAGACCAAATAGAAGTAGAGACTTATTTTTCGTTCATTGGTGGCCAATTGTCTAGGAGTCCAGGAACCGCCAAACGTCCCATATGTAATAGGTAATCCAATGAGTTTCAAAAGCGAAAGAGACCTGAAAGCGGGAGTAGAGAACTATGAATGGAGGCACTCCAGGGCCCACGTGAGAGAACGCGTGGGAAATGGGGAAATTACCTGCAGTTGGGGGGCAGGGGAAAGACCGCGTCACAGGCAGGACAGTGGCTAGACTGCGTGTCCCCACCCCCCGAGCCCCGTTTGCCCCTCTGGTCTCAGCGTTGGGCAGCTGGAGCGAAGACGGCACACGGGCCAGAGCACTCGACCCGCTCGGAAGTGGGGCAGAGGCCTTGGCGAGCGCAGCAGCGACTTCCGGCGGGGGATGGCCCCGCCTGCGGCTAGCGCGGGGCGCGCTGGGAGCCGGGCGGCCGCACGCACACGCCGGCGTGGGCAGTGTTGCGTGGTGCTCCGATGACAGGCCAGGCACGCCCCTTTTACGTCCCCGCGTCCCCTGAGCCTCTCTTATCTCAGCCTCTCGCCGTTTCGCGCTCCTCGGAGAGACCCGCCTCTTCCCCCGAGCCGCACCACCCGGAGGCCTCGGCGCGCTCGAGGCCCGCCTCTTACGGAAGCCGAGGCGGACGGTCGGAATCCGGAAGAAAAACAATCGGGTGCGAGAGAGGTGCCTGAGACCTGGTGTCCGAGACTTGCCGCCCGGAGGCGGCTCCGGCCGGGACCAGCTGGGGCGGCGAGACGCGAGCCTGCCGGACCACTGCGTGGGGACGATGGCGGCCGTGAACTTGCGGAAGCCGACTGGGCTGAAAGTCAGGAAGCTCAGGTGAGGAAGACCCCGCGGGCAGGCCGGCCTGCTCCGTGCGGATCGCTGCCTCCGAACCAGTCGGGGTGCGGGCCTGGGGGCGGAACCAGACTGGGAGAGAAGAGGCCAGGCTCATAGCACTGCCGCGGGTACACAGCCTCTCCCAAATTCTCCCAGGCTTTTGTCGAGTGCCCTATGTTGGGCCCGAGCCTCGCGCCCCCTCTCAACTTAGGCTGCCAAGCTCGTTCCGACTGGAGCACCCCAAGCAGGTGTCTTCATTGCTTTCTGAAGGAGACAGCCGTGTTGGGCTGTTTGAAGTTAAAGACATAACAGGGCATTCACCTTTCAGCTCTAGAATAGAAATCTTGTTCCTACTTTTGATTCAGCACATGCATCATGAGGTCTGCCTGATCCCGTTGTGACCTCCGGAAATCCGAAATCAGATTTAGATAAGATCCTTTAGTGAAGTGACATAGGCTGGTCTCTTGCCTGCTCTTTCACGAAGAACAAGGCTAATCGCTAGCTCGGTGTAAGTCACAATGCATGGATTTGCTGCTAATCGTCAGACCTGAGAGGGGACAAGAAATCCCGACTTTTGCTCTCCATCCACGTAGAGCAGGTCCCAGGGAAAACAAGAAGCCCTTGAGTAAAAGGTCTGCGTTCCTTAATCCTCTGTTGGACAGCAGGGGGAGATCGTAAACAAATGAAGCATGGAATCTGAGCCCGAGTGCCTGGGAGGGTGGTTTTTGTATTGTTTTGTTTATATTCAAATGGAGGGGCAGGAAGTTGCTTTAAGCTGGCCAAGAATTTCTTCAAGTGCTTTTGAGAACATCGACCTCTAAGAACAGGGTCTGTTGGAGAAGAGATGTTCGGGGGCAAACTATCCCTTTCTCCCACTCCCCTGTACCCTCTGCAGTTCTAAATCTTCAGCTGCTGCAGGTCTCCTCGTAGTGTACCTGGGACTCACATGAGGCTTGGTGGCTGCTCTTCATCTGTGCAGGGTCTGCAGCTCCTGCCAGCTCTGTACTCAGCACATTCTGGGGCTTCCTTGCAGTGTTGCTGTAGCTATTCAGTTAAAGAGCTCTGCAAGTCTCTCTGTCCTCTGAGCCTCTCATGGGAATAGTGTCATTAAGAGCCCTTGGTCTAGTTCCTTTGCTTCCCTAGGACTTGTATGAAGCTGAGGTGGAAAATGTTATCCAACTGATGATTTTTTTCCCAAGAGAGGGTAGACTCTTGAGAGAGATGTTGAGAAATCTGTTACTTAGAAGCGTCTCCTTAGGCTCCCTGAGGTACTTGCAGAATTGGTTGTGCTCCAGGGATCTGCTAGGAGGGAGTGGGTGGGGAAGGGAATGTGGTGTTGTTATCTCTGTTATTTTTTAAATTTCCCTATCCTTTTGGTGATGAGGCCTCTCACAAGATAAAAATCTGAACCCCCCCCTCCCCGGGATCTTCCTGATGGTCCTAGGAACCCCTAGGTTGGCAAGTGGGGGTGGGAAGTTGCTGACTGAACCATAGATGATCACCGAGGTGTGGGTGGCTGGAGGGACTGTGGGGATTAATAACTTCCTGACTATCCAGTCCCTCCATCCCTTCCCTTGTCTGACCTCAAAGCCTTTGGACTCCATTTGGCAGCTCTGCTAGTGTCAGCAGCACCAGTGCTTCCAGGTGTGGGCAGCTGTGGGCCTGCATGAAGGAGCCAGTCCAGGGCAGGGATTTCCTGCTTCAGGGAACAAAGGTGAAGATGAAGGGCTTGTATTTCAGTGTCCCTATTCCCGCCATCAGATGCAGAAATTTGCATTTCCCATCATGACTGCAGGGGATTGTGGTGCTGCCATTAGCAGGCCTAGACCCCTTATCCATTATCTGGACAAGATCTTACCCTCCTTCCTCCGTGATTTCCCTTTGCATCCCTTCCACAGCATACATGTCGTGACATGGAATGTGGCCTCGGCAGCACCCCCTCTAGATCTCAATGACCTGCTTCAGCTGAACAACCAGGACCTGAATATGGACATGTATGTCATTGGGTAGGTGTCTGCAGGGCCCCTTCACTCATCCCTGACCAGTCCCAAGTTGTCCCCATGGGGGAACTGCTGAAACCTGTCCCCCCTTGCTCTGGAGTCTGGAGGTTAGGCGCTTTCAGCCTGCATTGGAGCCAGTCCCATGTCTCTTGTCCTGGGTCAGCAATGGCAAGGGATTGGAGCTCAGCAGGCAGGGGAGGAAGATATCACAGTGATCGGAACCCAGGGCCTGAAGGTCTGTGAGGACAGTGCTAAATGTCTACAGCACAGGAAGTACCCTTCAGGCCAGGGGACAAGCCTCTGACCTGGGATGGTCAGTTTGCAGGAAATGAACTCTGGGATCATAAACCGCCTTTCTGACGCTGCCTTTGAAGACCCATGGAGCAGTTTCTTCATGGATGTGCTTTCCCCTCTAAACCTCATCAAGGTAACTTATGAGTTCATGGGCAATTGAGAACTGTGTCTTACCTCCATTAACCTCCTGTCGTTTGGGCTAACATGTTCCTCTTACTCTCATTCAGCCTTTCATGTTGTTTCCCATTTATTGAAAGGCTTAAACCTCACTTGCACCTGGCTCCCTGGGGCTCCTGCCTTCCGTGTGCCTTTCGAAGGTAGCTAGAGCTGAGCTGGGTCTCCAGGGGTTAGGTTAACATCTAGAGATTTTTCAGCTTGGGAGGATTCCTAGGGGAGGTGCCGCAGGGCTTGTCAACACCTCAGTACCTGCCCCTGCCCCAGCTGCTCTACACACATGCCCAGTCTAAAATGTAATATTGATTGTTTCCATTTATTAAGTGCTTACTTAGTATTAAGCATTACAAATAGCTCTTTATACAAATTATTTTAAAATCTTAGTAACTCTTTTTTTTTTTGAGACAGAGTCTCACTCTGTTGCCGGGCTAGAGTGCCGTTGCATCAGCCTAGCTCACAACAACCTCAAACTCCTGGGCTCAAGCGATCCTCCTGCCTCAGCCTCCCGAGTAGCTGGGACTACAGACACGCGCCACCATGCCCGGCTAATTTTTTTTCTATATGTATATATTTTAATTATCCAGCTAATTTCTTTCTATTCTTAGTAGAGATGGGGTCTCGCTCTTGCTCAGGCTGGTCTCGAACTCCTGAGCTCAAACAATCCGCCTGCCTCAGCCTCCCAGAGTGCTAAGATTACAGGCGTGAGCCACCGTGCCCAGCCATAACTCTCTTGAAATAGCAGTATTTTACAGATAAAATCCAAGGCTCAGAAGTCACACCGGTTATCTGGGACTTGAATTGAAGTCTTTCAAACTTCATAACCCATGTTCCTAACTACTATACTTTACTACTAAACTGGTGAGCTCTAAGACTGATGGGTATTCCATGGCTAGCCTGGTGGTATCAGAGGGTATCCTCAGATCACAGGGGACATGCACCTTAAATGAATTCCAGGGGCCCAGACATTAGGAGCGGGGAGATAGGTAGGGTGGGGAGAGGTTCACAGTCTGAGGGACCAGTGTACTTTAGGGAATCTTTAGACCGTAGGAGAATCCATAGGAAGGCTCTGGGTTGCTGGATCTTCACTTTGTGTCTGCCCTGCACATCGGAGGGATGAAACACACTGCTATGCAAAGCACTTAGTACACAGCTATTGGAAATACCAAAATTTACTCTGTTTCCTACCCTGGGTGACTATTGTTCTTCAGAATTAATTGTTACCCTAGTTTGCCTGAGGGTACTGGGGCAAGAGCTGTGCGTCCTTCAGAGGGGAGCAGAATGGGGAGGAGGGAATACAAGGTTTAGTCTTCTGCTAAGGCTAGAAAATGCCAGTCCCTGAGTCCTTGGTTCCCTCTAAGTCAGACCCAGAGGCCTCTTCCTACAGACCTGGAGCCAGGTCCTCACAGAGGGCAGACCCACTTCTCTCTCACCACCCATTCCCTTCCCAAGACTGCAGGCCTCCTTGCACCTCGGCTGACTGCCAAGGGATTGGTAGGATGGAACCGAGCCAAGGAAATTAGCTCAGCTTGTGGCAGGGACACAACCTATTCTACACATGTAGCCTCCTGAGGTTGGAGGGCCAGCCTGAGGACCTGGCACCCAAAACGGATGCCCCTTCTTCCCCCAGCTGACGATCACCTAGTTACAGCCTGCTCTTTCCGTCCATCGGTTGAGAAGCCTGGGGCTGACCCCCTTCGACTGCTCCAGGGCTCCTAGCCATGTCCTGCTAGTTCTTTCTTTAGTTCCTCCTACTTCATTTCCTCCAGCTGGAACTTCCCCTGGAAATCTACTGTTTTTCCCCACAGTCCCACCCTTTCTCCCAGTCTCTCCGTCATTCTCCCATGCCATCCTCCCCTCCCCCTACTTCCATTGCTGCTACATCACAAAGTGAATGGGTGTCTTTGTGGTGGAGCCCAGTGGCCTAAACCCTCTCTGTGAGTTAGGATTAAGCTTGGAACTATTCCCGAGTCTTTATCAGCTCTCTGTCTCCGGTGGTGACCCTGGGGACCAGTCCTTCATAGTCCTGTCCTACCCCCACTTCTGTTATATATGCTTGTGGGTGAGACAGAGAAGCCTGGGGGTGGAGGGTGGGGTTGAGGACACATTTGTAGCAACTTCTGGCCAACCTCAGGTTCTAATGCCTCCCTCGCTGGGTCTTGAGTTTGGGGTTCCCCCTGGTTTGACTTCTCCACTGTGCTAGTACTCCTGGCCTGTGGTATCAAGTTTCATAATTCCTGGAAGGCCCCAGTATACGCTCCCCACCCGGGGATTTCCTCCTTGGCCTCTACACCTCATGCTCCGGAAACAGCTACTCGGGTGCTGTGTACAGATGGCCTGAACCCGAGAGGGAGGGCCACTGGCTACGGCCCGTTCCCACCCCACCTTTTGCAGCTGCAGATAGTAGGGATTTTATCAGTTCTGGTACTTTGATGTTGTTATACAAGTAGTCCTGCTGGTTCCTTAGCCTCCCTGAATCTCAGTCCCCCATCTGCAGAACAGGGACAGTGATTCCTTACAGGGTTGACGTGAGGAGTAAGTTAGATATGAAGCCCTTCAGTAGATGTTAGCTGTTCTCCCCAGCCTGTGAGCATGTGTCCTCCATACTCATTGCACACAGTCTATAGTTATAGGGAATATTTTTTTAATTTTTTCTACTGAGTTATAACATGTACAGAAAATGTACATGAATTATAACATATGCAGAAATTAAGTGTGCAGTTTGATGGATCTTTATATATATACACCCATGTTACCATCAGCCAAATCAAGAGACAATATTTCCAGCACCTTAGAAGCCTCTCTCTTGTTCCCTCCCTGCATTTACTTTTAAGAATCCTTAAATAGTCCCGCATGGTCATTCACACCTATAATCCTAGCACTCTGGGAGGCAGAGGTGGGAGGATTGCTTGAGGTCAGGAGTTCAAGACCAGCCTGAGCAAGAGTGAGACCCTGCTGCTACCAAAAAATAGAAAAATTAGCTGGGCATGGTGGCACACACCTGTGGTCCCAGCTACTCAGGAGGCTGAAGCAGGAGAATGGCTTGAGCCCAGGAGTTTGAGGTTGCTGTGAGCTAGCTGACGCCACGGCATTCTACCCCGGGCAACAAAGTGAGACTCTGTCACCAAAAAAAAAAAAAAAAAATTCCTTTAACCAAAAAATAATAGCTGTCAGGTAATCTTCACAGCATCTATGAGATAGTATTATTCCTGCCTGATGAATGAAAAAAATACATGGAGAGACTTGCCCAATATCAAATACTAAGAATTGGAGCCAGGATTTGAACCCACATCTGGCTGGCTTCGAAGCCAGTATCCTTAGCCACAGTCCTATGTAGCCACATTCCTCTTTGAGGCCCTGGCCAGCAAGGGTTGCAGCCTGAGAGTATCCAGAGGATCTCAGGATGGCATCACTAAGAGGAGCACCCAGACATGCATGGGGCTGGGGCTGAAGAGTTAGTGCCCTCCTCATGGCAGGGTGCCCTGGCAGGCTCGCCGTCTCTCCCCTCCAACCCCAGGCTTAGGAGCAGAAACTGAAATCTCAGTTCCCAGGATGCATCATTTGGCAGCTGAGGGGAAGAGAGGAAAGGGGTGGAACTCTGAGACTCAAACTGGGATACCACAGACCCTGGGGCACGGCATTGTTTGTGGCTCAGGGCCTGGAAGGGATGCACTTGACCTGTACTGTTTAACAAGTGACCTTTACCCTCACTCTCCTGCAGGTCTCCCATGTCCGCATGCAGGGGATCCTCTTACTGTTCTTTGCCAAGTATCAGCATTTGCCCTATATCCAGATTCTCTTCACAAACTCTACCCCCACGGGTCTCTTCGGGTACTGGGTAAGGACTGTGCTGTTGTCTGAGTCATGAGCTGGGAACTTTAGAGCTGGGCACAGGAAAAGGGTATGGAATAAATCTTGGTACTCTGTCCAGCCCAGTGTCTTGCATGCTCATTCTCCTGTCTCAGGGGGCTTGTTATCCCTGAGACCCCAGGCTGGGTGAGCTCCACTCGTGCATGGAGAGATGACCCTGGGAAGTTTGGTGTCCCTGGGAGACTCTCAGGGAGGTGAGACTATCTCCCCACGGGCCTATGATGTGAAAAGAGGGATACGTCCCACCCAGAGTAGCTTCGCATTCTTCTGTCTACTTGTGCTACTAGGGAAACAAAGGAGGAGTCAACATCTGCCTGAAAGTTTATGGCTACTATGTCAGCATTATCAACTGCCACCTGCCTCCCCACATGTCCAAGAATGACCAGCGGCTGGAGCACTTTGACCGGATCCTGGAGATGCAGAATTTTGAGGGACACGATATCCCCAACATCCTAGACCATGAGTGAGCCTGGAGCTGCAAACTGTTATCCCTGCCCTCTCCCCTACGCCAGCCCAGGCTAGCGTCCTCCACCCAGCCACTGCCCCATTATCCTGCCCTCTCCAGCCCCGTCCCTGATGCCCCATCTGCTGTCCACCCCCAGAAGTGCCTGCCCGGGCTCTCCTTCCTGCAGCCCCTCTGTCTTACCTAGAAACCCTGAACATCCCTGGTTAAGAACCTTGTGGTTCCTGAGGTCACCAGAGGGCGGTGGTCAGTCGAGGGAAAGGAAGGGAGGGCTGGACCTGCTCTGTATTTGCCATGTGCCCCTCTGAGCTGGTCTCTTGGCTCGAACGGTGCTTTAGGAGCCATGAGAACAGTTCCATTGGAACCATGCATGCCTTTGTCCTCACCTGATCCTCTCCTGGCATCTGGCTTCTCGCCTGCCCCCTCGAACTTTCCAGCAGCCCTTGGAATGAGCAGGCCCGAGCCACCTGTTGCTCTCCCTTCTCTGACTTCATCACAGACCCTCAGGCTGCCCTCCTTTCTTTCTGAAGCCTTATTCTCTGGTTTGGAGACATGAACTTTCGGATCGAGGACTTTGGGTTGCACTTTGTTCGAGAATCCATAAAAAATCAGTGCTACATTCACCTGTGGGAGAAGGATCAGGTATCAAGTAAAAGGAGGGTACCAAGGGGTGATCTGAACCCACAGTGGTGAAATGTGTGGAGCTTGCTCAGATTCCCTTGCAGCTGCTCTCCTTTTCCTGGTGGTGTAGGTTGGGGGGGCTGTCTAGCAGGGCCTTGCACCTGGGGGTGGGGCAAGCACTCCTGTCAGTGCCTGATCTACACGTGGAAGAGCTAGGGGACGGCCACTGGATGTGCTTTAGAAGAGGGAGCCAGAGGGCTTGAGCCTGCCATGGCCTGTACCATGCATTAACCCACTTGTATCCCTGTCATCTTTCCTGTCCCCAGCCTTGTTTGCCTCCTGGAGGACAAGATATCACTCCTTTGGAGAACTCTGGCTACCCCAGGTTCCCCTCTGACATATGTCTGCTAGTGATTTCCCTACCCCCAGAAATGGCATTCAAAGCCTGGTCTTTATAGTCCAAGGACTGGAAAATGGCAGGCAGCTGCCTCCCACGGGCCAAGTGCTTCCAAAAGGATTTAGCTGCTCTCCTGGGGGTGAGGGTGGGCTGCTGAGGCACAGGCAATGGGGCAATGAGGAAGTGGCATGGCATTGCTTGGCTCTTGTCCCACGTAGGATGGCATGTGCTGGGCCATTGGGTTGGGACTGTTGGGAGATAGAGACTGTACCTTTATCTACAGCTCAGCATTGCCAAGAAACATGACCCGCTGCTCCGGGAGTTCCAAGAGGGCCCCCTGCTCTTCCCGCCCACCTACAAGTTCGATAGGAACTCCAATGACTATGACACCAGGTGAGGAGGAAATGGGGGCCCAGGAAGTCTAGGAAGTGAGTTTATGCCAGCACTAGTGACAGTGTAAGGGAGGCAGGAATAGATCTAGCCATCACCTCTCAGGAGTGGCACCTCCTGCTTCCCTCATGAGGCACTGACTTATGGGAGTTGTCCCAGATTGTTCTCAGAGAGAATGGGAGGGACAGCCAGTGCTGGCAAGGACAGGGGAGGTGAGGAGGCAGACAGGCCAGAGGAGAGGGTGGAGGCAACTGACTCCTGGCTTAGGAGGGACTGCACTTCAGCCTTCTGGAAACCTTGCCCCCACTTCCCAGGACCTTCTGGTCCCCAGATGTTGGGCAAAAAGCTTGGCTTAGCCAGTTACTGGTATTAAGTATCCGTGCCCAGCCTGTGAGTGGGTGATGTACTAGGTGAGAAGATGAAGTAGTAGTCACTGGAGAAGTTCATGGGGAACAATACAGAGACAGAGGCACAGCTCTGCCCCTCATCAACTATATGACATTAGACAAGGTGTTTAAGCTCCATTTAGTCATTTATAAAATGTGGATGATAACAGTTCACACCTCATGAAATTGAAGATTGAAAGAGGCCTGGCTTATGCTTAGCCGTGCCTGGCAGCCAGTAAGCATGGAGATAACTGCTATGGTTATTTTTTTATTTGTGTCTTCAGGTTGTAGTTTTACTAAAAGCCTTTCTATGCTGGGTGTGGTGGCTCACACCTGTAATCAATCCTAGCACTCTGGGAAACCGAGGCAGGAGGATCCCTTGAGGCCGGGAGTTCGAGACCAGCTTGGGAAACAAAGCAAGACCGTATCTCTGAAAAAATTTTTTAAAAATTAGCTGGGCATTGTGGCTTGTGCCTGCAGTCCCTGCTACTTGGGAGGCTGAGGCAGGAAGATTGCTTGAGCCCAGGAGTTGGAGGCTGCAGTGAGCTATAATCACACTACTACACTCCAGCCTGGGCAACAGAATGAAACTGTCTGTAAAAATTTTTTTAAAAAGTAAAAATTAAAAAAAAAAACCAACAGAAAAAGATGAGAGGGGCCAGGTAACCACTAAAACTTAAGGCTTAGAGGCTCAAGCAGAGGAGCAAAAGTACCACTGGCTACAGGTCCCTGCCCCAATTTAGGGCAAGGACCCTAATCTCTTTGGAGAAAAGAGAACCCCTTACGTGTTGTGTTTCACCTGAAGCAGCTCCTTCATTCCTCCTAGCAGGGCTGTCTTATAAGGCGGGAGGTGCCTACAGGGCAGCCCAGGCCTTTGGGATTTGGGGAGTGAATAGGTGTCTCCACAGACAGGCCAAGGCAAGAGGTCGAACTGCAGGCTTGGCTCTGGAACTGGTATGGCAGAGCCAGAATGTCCTCGCCAAGGAAAGGGGGAGAGGGTGAGCCATTTCAGGAATGTGGAGCAAGACAGAGTAGGGTCATGGCCAGGGCAGTCCACAGAAGAACAGGCAGTGAACGCTGGGGACAGAACCCAGGCTGGGCAACAGCGGGCAGGAAAGGAGGTAAGGGGGCAGGCTGTGGCAGGCTGGGCGCCTGGGTCCACAGCTGTAGGGAGACTGCCAGTCCCTGCAACCATCCGTTGGAATAAGAGTCATGGTGGAAGCTGTAGGGCCTCAGTGGGACAGGCTGGGGCCTTGGGGGCTGGGATTTTACCAACTGACTTTAAAACCTCTTTAAATTAAAAACTTGCCAGCAGGAAAAGCTGCTGACAGGCCATGTGGCCCCGTGTCCCTTTCCCCCAGGTTATGGTAGGGAGACCTGCAGGAGACAGAAAGTCGTTGCAAAAGCTGAGTCTGGGCTGGAGTGAACAGACTGACAGGTTAGAGAGGCTTCCCCAGGCAGCTCAGCTAGTGAGTGGTGGAGCTGGGGCTCAGACTGAGTCTCTGGACTCTGTAGCCAACGGCGCTTGCCTCGGCGTAGTGCCTCAGAACTCACAGCCAGCCTTGCCAGCAGCAAAAGGGAAGGTAGGCTCAGAGTGGCAGACACTTATTTCCATGTAACAGCTCATTGTGATTGACAATATTGAGCACTTGCCATGTGCCAGACATTGTGCAAAGGGCTTTGCCTCTATCACCTTACTTAATTCTTACCATACCCTCACTAGGTAGACACTGTTAGTATTGACTTTTTACAGATAAGGAAACTGAGTCTCAAGGAATATAAGTAAGGTAGTAACAGACTTGGTGATCAAGCAAGGATTTGAACTCGTCTGTATGTCTTTAGACCCATAAGTCTCCCTCTCCTTGCCTGGAGCCCAGGAAATGAGGGAATGTCTGGGCAGGAACAGAGGACATTACAAGGGACATCATAACTGAAATATTGCTGGTTGGAGTCAGGGTCCAGAGGCAGCTGGGAGTTCCTGGGGCAGGCAGGGCCTGAGCCTACCTGGGGAACAGAGACATTCCTGTCTAATCAAACTGTTATTTATCCTTGAAAACCCAGTTCAGACTTCATCTCTCCTAGGAAGCCTTCCCTGACCATTCCCCATCTCACTGAGAGTTCCTTTCCTGCCCTGTGCTGCCACCAGGCCTGCACACACCATGCTTTCAGTATTGCTTTTAAGGCACGGTGTGCCTTTCTTGCTGTACTCTGAATGCCCAGAGAGCAAAGACTGGATCTGATTTAGGACCATCCCTAGTGTGTAGCAGTACCTAGCATATGTTTGAATTGGGAGCCAGAGAGGACAAAAGGGTAAGACATGGTATTTAGGGAGCAGCCAGTCCAGCAGAGGGACTCACCCATGGCAAAGAGATCCAAATAAACATTATCAAGCCCAGGAGTTAGCCAGTAGAAGGTTTCCAGAACTCTCTGCAGAATGCTGGAGTGAATGGTAAGGAGGCAAGCAGCTGAAGCCAGGGGACGTCAGTCAGACTTCTTGTCAAGAGAGTGTCTTGGAGGCAGGAGAGTTTGGCAGAAGGGAGAAGGACAGGCATTGTGATCGGTGTGATCAGTCTTCAGCACCAATGAGGGGCGCCTGGAGGGGAGTCTGACCCAGCAGAGACCATGGCAGGTCCTAGCTTTACAAGGCAACTGTGGCTAATGTGTGTGCCAGGCATGGTATGCAGCTTTGGCCAGCCACTGCAGCGTCCCTGAGCCAAGACGTAATGAGAAACGAGGTCAGCTTCGTTGCAAGGGAGGGTGAAAGGGCTGAGGGCAGGGCAGGAAATCCTGTTAAAATCAGGGATTGCACTAGGGTTTTGTTATAATTGCCATTATGAACCCGGACAACCTCTATGTAGGCAATGAGCAGAGGTTATTATGACCAAATCTATTCAAGACTGGTGTCCCAGAGCCTTAAAGTACCTGACAAGTTAACCATGGCCCAGAGTTCAATGAGACACTTAAAACAAAAGCCATCTATAGGGAGCTGAAAGGAACTGTGCTTTCGGACCTGGAAATTGAGCACATCACTGCTTTGGGGTCAGTAAATTGGCTCAGTTTTTAAGTCAAAAGAATCTTGCAGAGATACTTGATTTTAATTTTTCTGAAGTAAAGACATGCAAATTCCTCACCAGAAACAATTCTCATACTAAGTCATAACCATTCAGCCAAAAAGCATGGGCAAGGCCCCACCACGGTAGTGCACACCGGAAGATAGTTCCTGTCACTGTGAGTAAATTACAACAGGGCTACTTGGAGGAGATGGAGCTCAGTAGAAGGAGCACGGACTTTGTAGTCAGCAGACCTGGGCAAGCATCCGGCTTCCACCAGGACAGGCAGCCACTGAACGTCAGTGTCCTGCCGTAAAAGGAGAAAAATGTGACCTGCAGCTCAGGATTGTTGGAAACATTAGGACAGTCCGTGAGACCTCATCACAGTGCCTAGTGCACAGACGGACCCAATTTTTGCTATTGTTATTATTAGAAATAGGGAAGTGGGAGACTATATGGAATATTTAATTTGTGCACATTTATTTCGCTTATTCGTTTTCTTGGCTTTTGTTTGTCAGACAAGCTCCTCGAGAATCTTGTCCATCCTATTTATCATATCCCCGGTTGCCTGGCATATAATAAGGGCTAAGTCAATCTTGCTTGAAAGAATGAACAATCCAGGTGCCCGGTGACGAGCCCGGCCAGGACGTGGGACAGGAGAAAGGGGGGCAGGCTGAGAGGTCCTGAGGAGGGAGGAGAGATAGGTTGCGGTCAGGCCGCGGGTACGATCCTGACGTGACAGCAAGTGTGGGCTCCCAACCATCACAGGGAAGTTGGGGTGGCAGAATGCTTTGAAAGAGAGAAGGTGCATTAGTGCAGTTTATTACAGGTTCTAAGCATTGCCAGGCACCTAATATCCACGGTGGATTCAAGGAGTCACTGTAATCTCTGGGATGGGAATACCACATTCCGATGTCCTCTGAACGCTCCTCAGAAGAGTGAAAGGTTGGCAACAACCCAAGTTGCCAACAAGCAGACCGTGGTTTGGCCTGAGTTATGGCTTCTTGACCACTCCCTTGACGTGCCTTAATTTCTTTAATCCTCACAGTTGCTCTTTGAAGTAAGTACTGTTATCACCCCATCTTAGAGTTGAAGAAACTGAAGCTTAGTGAGGTTAAGTCACTTGCCCTAAGGGCATATAGCTCTTTTTTTTTTTTTTTTTTTTTTTGAGACAGAGTCTCGCTCTGTTTCCTGGAGTAGAGTGCCATGGCGTCAGCCTAGCTCACAGCAACCTCAAACTCCTGGGCTCAAGCAATCGCACTGCCTCAGCCTCCCAAGTAGCTGGGACTACAGACATGCGCCACCATGCCCGGCTAATTTTTTCTATATAGATTTTTAGTTGTCCAAATAATTTCTTTCTATTTTTAGTAGAGACGGGGTCTCGCTCTTGCTCAGGCTGGTCTCAAACTCCTGACCTTTAGTGATCCACCCACCTCAGCCTCCCAGAGTGCTAGGATTACAGGTGTGAGCCACCGCGCCCGGCCGGCATATAGCTCTTAATGAACAGGACAGAACCTTCCCCCAACTGGTCTCTGATTCTAGAGTCCAAGTTCACCACCATGACGTCATTCTCCTCATTTGCTGGAATACTTACCCTCTTAACTGTTGATGTGCCAACAGTATATTAGAAATGTTTATTTAAAACAGTTGAATAAAGCAGGAGAGAAAAACAGTGTTTCCAACTGATTACAAGTATATGGAGCTGTATACATTAAGACTAGATAGGCTTTTTTTTTTTTCTCATAGAGACGGGGTCTTGCTGTGTTGCCCAGGCAAGTGATTGAGCTTGGGCTTTTTAGTTAGTTTGGTCAGTTATTGAGGACCTCTGTGCCAGGACCTGTGCTAATGCTAAGGATACCAAGAAGATGTACTAATGCGGACACCAAGAACCAGTCCTTGCCTTCGGAGTCCACACACTATCTGATGTGCTGACTGGGAAACAGAAAATTACGCTATCATGTAATTGTATAAGTACTAGTATAAAATGCTTTGGAAGCAGAAAGGTGAAGTCAGGGATGGCTTTATGACAAGGGCAACATTGGAACTGGGCCTCTCCCTGGTGAAGAAACGTGTTCCAGGCAGCAAAAACTGCAAGAGCAAAGGTCCAAAGGCTTGAGAGAGTCACCAGGGCAGGCTGGGTATCTCCATTTTACAGATGAGGAAGCCAAGGCCTAAGGGGGCTTGGCCTGGTGGTTAAGAGCACAGCTCCGGTCATACTGCCTGGCCTTAAATCCTGGCCCCACCACTAAGTAGCTGTGTGACTTTGGTTACTTCCCTCTTAAGACTCAATTTCCCCACCCGTAAAGAGCGAATGATAACGGTGCTGACCACAGGCATGTAGACAGTTAGTAGGGAAGCCAAATTCAAGCTCAGGTCTGTCTAACTCCAAAATCCAAACCTCAGCTTCTTTGATCTACTGCTGCTTTTGTTCAAGAAAGAAGAAAAGCTTTAAAATGGAATGTTTCTGAGTCACAATTTGATTCATAAAAATGTGGACTAGGCAGAGGGTCCTTGGCTAAGTCTGACAGAGGCCACGCCCTCCTACCTGCTGCCATACTCCCTCCAGCCCTGTAGACACTGGAGTTAGGGGCTCCAGCAAGCTCATGGGGACACTTTCCTGCTCTCATGCTGACCATTCTCTCCCCATTCTTCCTGTTCCCCCACCCCAGTGAGAAACGACGCAAGCCTGCCTGGACCGACCGCATCCTGTGGAGGCTAAAGCGGCAGTCCCAGGCCGGTCCCCATATCCCCAGACTGCCAGCCCCCTACTTCTCGCTGTCTCTGAGGAGCTACGTCAGCCACATGGTATACAGCATCAGTGACCATAAGCCTGTCACCGGCACCTTTGACTTGGAGGTGAATTTCCAGGCTGCCTGACACTTGGCAGAGGAACGGCTATACTGAGCCACGTCCCCCAGCCCTGGAGGCCTGGATTCTAATGTCAGCCAATCCCCCAGGGAAGACCTGTAGAAGGCCATGATTGCCTTTCCTCCCAGGTCAGGTATCCTAGCTCTTCTTAGGGGCTGTTGATGGCTCTGTCTGTCAAAAATGTGTTCAAACCCTTTGTGAATAGGTTTCCATTTCCTCTGGGTACTCTCCCTCGGGGCTAATGAGTTCCATTACGCTTATTACCTACTGTGTGAAGTAGGACTTCCTTTTATTTGTCCTAAACCTATCTGGATCAGGTTGCAGAGGGAGCTCCCTCGTCCTCCTATCTTGCCATCTCATGACCCAGGCAGTAGTGACCTCCTTCAGGCTGCTGGCTGGCCCCTCATTCTTCACGTTTTCGCACTAGTTTCTCTGTCATTACACCCTTGTACCTTTCCACACTCTCACAGCTGTTTTCACCAGAGCACCCCCCCCTCCACACACAAAATTGGATTCAGGGCTTTGGGTCAGATACCCTGGAGGCCTGAGAGCAGCTGCCTGGCTTCTTCCTGAAACCTCTCAGCAGCTCCCTCTCTGTCCTCCCTCCCTCCCCCTCAGCACTTGGCTCTCTGTGTTACCTACCTGGCTCTCAGCCCCCATGTCCTTGACAGGACCAGCCACCACCCTGACAGGCCTTTCTTTGGCCCTTTCCCTTTCCTGCTGGCCAGCCAAGGTCAGCTGGAGCAGCCTAGTACAGTTGTATGCCCACCCCTCTGGGGGACCCCTACCCCCCTTGTCAACAGGGCACAGTGAGGAACAGTTGCCTCCAAGGAGGGAATGTTGCCAAGGGAATTCAATCCCCTTCCCACCCTTGTGTCTAGCTGAAGCCATTGGTATCTGCCCCACTGATCACCCTGATGCCCGAGAGCCTGTGGACCATGGAGAACAACATGGTGGTCAGCTACTCCTCAGCGCCTGACTTTCCCAGCAGCCCCTGGGACTGGATTGGCCTGTACAAGGTGATGTGGCAGGCAAGACGGCAAGTCTACCAGCAACAGCTCCCTGGTTTATGCTTCCCGAGGGCTTATGGGAGCTGGGCAGGCACTGAAGAACTCGCTTTCATCCACCCCAGGGTCCTCGCCTACCTAGAGGCTGGCAATAAAGGGAGGGGGGAGGCATGCAGTACGATGGCCAGCCGCAACAGACCATCCTCTCCTTAAGGACTCGCCACAGGTCCCATGTCCTCCTAACTACTGATTGCTCAATCCCCTTTCCCACAGGTGGGGATGCGGCACATTAATGACTATGTGTCCTATGTCTGGGTAGGGGACAACCAGATCTCCTTCAGTGACAACCTGAACCAGGTACATCTCCAGCAAGTGGGCTAGTCTGAAAACTCCTCTGTCTTCTGGAAGGGTCAGAGTGCTGGATAAACTTGTCCCTGAGAGGTGGGTGTAGCCCAAGGCCCTGGAGCCGACCCATTCCTGTCCACCCTCCCCTCCAGGTGTACATGGACATCAGCGCCATCCCTAAGACTGCAGATCAGTGTCTCCTCTGTTACTTCAGCAACAATCTGCATTCTGTCGTGGGCATAAGCAAACCCTTCCAGGTAAGGAATGCTGGTGGGAGAAGGGGAAGGGTGACAGAGAGGACTTGAGCCCATCATCGGTTCCCTGTGGAGCCGCATCAGGTGGGGAGTGGGAGTGATGGGAGCAGGTTGGAAGGCCTGCTCTTCCCCCTTCTGCCACCTCTTATCCTTGCAGATCCCACCTCGCTTCTTTTTGAGGGAGGACCCACTGGGCGAAGCCCAACTACAGTTCTGAGCCAGCATGGGAGTGAATCCAGGGCAGAGGCCAGAGCTGGCAGCCAGCTCTCCCTTACCACTGCCAGGAGTGCTGGGGGCCCAGCCCAGCCCCCCGAGGAGACAGCCAGTGTCCTCCACATACCCACCACCTTCGAGCTCTAGCCGGCCTCCTTCGCTATCTCCAGTACAGATCTCTGGAACTGGCCGCGTAAATACAGGCTTTCGTTGCTGAGATGTGACTAAAGCAAGGTAGTTTGTCAACAATGAAGACTTGGGGACAATTCACCAGATGTGGGAAGGACCCTTCAGCCTGCATCTCATTTCTTGATTTCCTCCCTACACACTTCTAGTCCTGCCAGGCACATGCCCCATCTGGCACAGGCCTGCATTCTTGTCATGCCATCCTGGGTCTCAGACTGCCTGGGAGGGAGGGATGCTCACATTTGTACAGGCTCTATAGACTGGTTGGCGCAAGCAGCGCTGGGTTCCAGGAGTCTTGGCATCTCGTAGCCTGTCCCCATGAGAGATAGACAGAGAGTCTGGGATCCCTACTTTCAGCAGAAACAGTGTGACTAAGCGGGTAGGATGGAGGGGCCCCTCTAGCCAGGTTCTTATGTAGTAGTGTGAACAGGTTGATGAGGGTCCTTCTGCTAACACAACCTTCCCCACTACCCCCTGTGTGGAGTCCAGCCAAGGAAGTTGCAGGGCCTGAACAGAGAAAATTGGAAAGGACTGAGGTTAGCTTCTGCCCTCTTAAGAAGGGTTGACAGATGGTAGGGGAACTTCAGCCACAGACTTTTCTAGGGTGGTCATTGCCAAATCAAGCTCTTCTGCTCCACCCTTGTCAGGACTTTGGCCAGAAACTGCTCCTCTCTCTGGACCCTGCTGGGACCTAGAAATGGGGGCAGGCAGAAGGGAGAGCTGGATCAAGGTATTTTGGAGGATCTTGCCCTGGGGGTCTTCTGAGAGCATTCTCCAGGTGCTATGTGGACATGGCTTGTCCCCACTCCCACCACTTGCCTCCTGCCAGTGGTGACTCAATGGCCCTTCTCAGGAGAAGCCACCTCAGGGAGCCTGCTCAGTGCTTGTCATGCCATCCGATGACCCGAGATTGAGGATCACTCCAGTTGCTCTGCATCCCATACTCCACCCAGGGAGCTATGTGTATCAAGAACTGTCCCCTGGCTTCTGGTGGGCCACGGCTATCTATGTTCTGTGTTTGTTACACTGTAGGGTAATAAGAAACATGGCTTTTACACCTGTGTGTGTCTCTTTGATGATAGGAGGGCACATGGCGATGGGCCCATAACTCCTTGCTCAACTTCAGGGACAAGGGCCCTGTAGATCCATACTAGACATTCTGTGTCTGAGATCAGCAGATATGGCCAGGGTGGGACTAGGATGAGGTTCTGGGGTGGTGACCCTGTGCGTCCCTGACCCAGGTGGAGCATGTCATCCATGTTGTTGGATGCTTAGTTTACTCCAGGTAGAACAGGTTTCTTGGAACTGACAACCCACGGGAAAGGTGCTCTTAGTGGTTCATCCTTCCTCACTCACCATTCCCTCACACCCTAGTCTTTAGCCTGTTCCTGGGTTAAGCTGTCCAAAATGTCACCATTTTTTCTCTCTGTCCCACTTCTCCCCTGATCCTTCCTGCTGAATCTCTCCCCATGGTCCCTTATCCTTGCCACCAATACTACATACACCTGGGGAGCTCTGAACCCCCTCACTTGCCCACCTGTTCTTTCGCCCATGCACAACCATCATGAGTGCTGCCACACAGCACCCTTCAGTTGGCAGATGGGAAAACCAAAGTTTGGAGATGTGTGACCCCTTCAAAGTTACACAAGCAGCTGTGGTGTCATGCCAGACCAGAAATACAGGAATGGGGTCCAGATCCACCCACTTAAGTCTCAGTTGTCTGTAAAGGGCAAATGATGTACCTATTCATTCACAAGATTATTGTGAGAGAACAATTGAAAAAAACACGATGCCCACCTCCCCATTCTCATTAACGTAGCCACAGGGCTTGATTTCAGGGGCGCCCTGTTTTTCCTCCACATGCTCACCTCTCTCGTTCCTCACACACGCCTGTCCCTGCCTCCTGTTGCCTGGGAGGGGTGAGCCCAGCAGTGATTGAGAGGCGGAAAGGGGAAGGGGGAGTGCTCTCAGTCCTCTTGGCCCCAGTCAGGATATGGCTGCTCTGGGCCCACCCCGACCTGCTGGGTGGAAACAGGAAATATGTGAGACTTGGTGTGCGCTGGGTCTCTGTGCCTGGCTCCACGACTGATAAGGGCCATTGTGTGGCCGAAGGGGATGAGCCTGCCCTGGATAGATGTGCTTCCCGGAGGAAGGAAGGAAGCTTTGCTGGCCTTTCCTGGGCGGAGGAAGCCGTGGACAGGGAAGGGAAGGGTGCCTGGGGGGAGGTCCCTGCCCATAGGGTTGTCACTGCCAGCACAGGCCCACTGGACTCCAGCCCCTCCCATGCCAGCCTCTGCCTCTGGAAAGGTCTGTTTCCCCCATCCACTTCCCCATCCTCACTTCCTATAAGGAATGGCTGGAGACCAGAAGGCTCAGTCTCAGGCCAGGAAAGTGTCAGCTGTGATTTAGCAACAATATAGAAAACAGGAACATTAAGGGTGGGGGAGCCCATGGGGGTACGGTTGAAATGTAAGGAGCAAACAGGGCTAGAGGTTGCCCATACCCAAGGAGCCCAGGAGCTAAGTCCCCAAGGGTGAGGAGGAGGGTAGGACAGGGGTCTCCTGCCTCTCCTGACAACTCCCTCTGCCTGGCATGACCAGCCCTCAGCAGCCCTGGCCTCTAAAACTCAAGGGGCTCACCTGCTGCTGTGGGAGGCAGCCAAGTTGAGGGGATGTGCAGGAGAGGCAGTGCGTATTGAGGAATCCTCTTGGATTAGAGGAGGATGTGCCTTCTGGTTTGCGGAGTGGTCACTATGCTCTCTAGCTGATAGTGGAGAGTGGGCGGCAGGAGAGGCGCAGCCATAAAGTTGCTGGGGGTAAGGGGAAAGACCTCCTACCCTTTGACCTGGAGCCCAGGGTCCCCCATGAGTGGCTGCATCAGCTCCTTGGTTACCTGGGACAACAGGCATTTCCTCCATCCCCTCAGCTCCTCCTCTTCCTGCCCCAACCCTCGGGGCCAAGAGGCCTCCCAATCAGACCTGGACTGCTCCAGCTGTGTCCTGAGGAGCTGGACCAGACACATCCCCTGGGGCTGGAGTTGAAGCAGAACCAAGTGGCCATCCCATCGATAGACCATAGATTCCTGGCTCCAGGAGCAGCCAGAGCCAGCGGGGCGGGCAGGCAGCTTGGCACACAGGCCCCAGTGCTCAGCACGCTGGCTCTCCGCAGGAATGGCGCTGCAAGTGGAGCTGATACCCACCGGGGAGATCATCCGCGTGGTTCATCCCCACAGGCCCTGCAAGCTTGTAAGCCGGGATGCTCTGGGCTGGGAGGAAGGGTGGCAGTGTCTCCCTGGGGCCTAGCGGCCCCCTCTAAGCAAACCCGTCTGGAAAGAGGTGAGCAGTGAGGAGGGGTTCTGATCCTTGGGAACAGGAACAGACTAGACAAGAAGGGGTAAGTAGAAGGAAAGAGTAAGTGTTTAAGGGCCACTAGAAGCAGGATTTTTCAAAGCCGAGGTCTGGATTGGAATGTTTTCTCCAACTCCCTGAACCTCAGTGGGCTGGGCTATGAACTGGGCACAAGGCGGTGACAGGGCTGTTCTGAGGACAAAGGACTAGTGCATGTCAATCTCCAGGCGCATAGTACAGGCTCAGTTAATACCCCTACCCTTTTCCTGTCTGGTCCGCGGAACTGGGACTGCCCCACGACTCAGAGCAGTAGCGTGGGTGTGGAAGGTGGGTGAAGGGAGGCGGTGGTTAGAAATGGGGAAGAACTGCCCTGCCTGGCAGGCTGGGGAAGGTCTAGTTTGCTCTGGAGATGCAAAAGGGCCCTAGGATGAGGAGGGAGAACTCCATTAGGCGCACCCACCCACCAGCACTGCAGCGAACAGGCCGGGTCTTCGGGAGAGTGTGCGCGCTTATTTGTGTGTGACTGTGGCGCGGGAACCGGTTGGGGACTGTGCCGCACCAAGTCTGGGCGGACGCGGGCCAGGGCGGGGGCCTGGGCCAAGGCCGGCTGGGGCGGGGCGGGGCCGGGGGTGCGCGCGCGCGTGCCCGGGTCTGGGCCCTGCCCGGGATGACGACAGGCGGCAGCCCGGCCCCTAGCGGGCCCTGGGCGGAGAGTGTGCCCCAGCCGCGGACTCCCGAGCCCGCCACGCCGCCCAGCCCGGCCCCCGCCCACGCGCCCGAAGAGCCGAGCCGGTGGGTACATGGGGCACAGGCGCCGGGCGGGCAGCGGCTGCGTGGCCCCGGGAGGCCTCCGCTGGCCGGCGGGTTGGGGGAAAGAGCAGGCGGCCGGGCGCCAAGCCGGACCCGGAGCTACCGTGAGGGAGGCGGGGGTCGCCGGCCGGGGATCGCCGGGGCCGAGGATCACCCAGCCCGGCCCGTAGCGGTCCCAGGAGCGGGAGGCGCAGAGACTTAGCCTGGTGGGGACTTAGATTACTTGCGGGTGACATGAGGGCGGTGAAGAGCGGTTTGGGTGGCGGGACCCAGGCACCCTGCGCGCCCTTTGGGCCCCTCCCGCTGCCCTGTTCTGCCTCTGGGTTCCGGAGAAGCCGTCTGAGCGCCGCCTCTTCCCGTTCTCTGCCCCTGGGGCCCAGCCACCCTGTGGCCCCTGCGTGCCTCGGCGCGTGTGAGTGTGACGGGTGAGGGGCTCCGAGATGAATGGGAGAATGAATGGCTGGCCCAGACCTTGTTCACTCCGGCACGCTCCGGCCGGGCTTATACTCCCGAGCTCTGAGATTCATTCATTCATCCAGGCGGCGTCCACAAGGGGGTTACTGAGCCCCCACTGTGTGTCTAGCTGGTTGTATGCCTGGCGTGGGAACAGTCTCCTGGGAAGGGCCAACAATGAAACAGGCGATTAGTGCTGAGTGGGATAAGGAGAGGCTGTTTGTTGGGGAGAATCAGGAAGGGGTTCTGGAGGAGGTGATACCTCAACTGAGTCTCCAAGGATCAGTAAGAATGGGTGAGATGGGGAGAGAGAGCGCACTGGGCCAAGGAAGCTGCAGGTGCAAAAGGCACAGAAGCTTAGGGAACCACGTGGGGTGGGGCTGATGGCAGGGTGCAAGAGGCTCCTCCTGGCTGTGTGTCCTGGGTGGGTGGTAGGGGAGGGATGGGGACAGGAGAGTGTCACCTGTGCAGTGGCACTGGAATGCAGGAGCAGTGGGTAAACTGAGGACAGTGGGGGCGGCAGGAGTCTATTTGCAGGGTCTTGACAAGAAGCAGTGGGTGTGAATCACGGGCCTGGCATATGGAGGGTGCCCCATAAACCTTCACTCTATTAACCTGACATGTTATTTATTTATTTTGAGATGTTATCTCACTCTGTTGCCCTGAGTGCCCTGGCATCAGCCTAGCTCACAGCAACCTCAGACTCCTGGGCTCAAGCCATCCTCCTGCCTCAGCCTACCGAATAGCTGGGACTACAGGCATGGGCCCTGACGCCTGGCTGATTTTTCTATTTTTAGTGGAGATGGATTCTCACTCTTGCTCAGGCTGGTCTCAAACTCCTGACCTCAAGCGATCCTCCCACCTCAGCCTCCCAGAGTGCTAGGATTACAGGTGTGAGCCACCATGATGGCCAACCTGAGATGTTAATTCATTTGATTTGCAAAGGCTGTGGGAAATGGATTGGTAGCAGGAAGGTGCGGAGGCCAGTTAGGAGGTTGCTGTCTTGGTCCAGAAAGCAGCAGTGACAGAGGGGCAGAGGTGAGGTTCAGCAAGTGCTGATGGCTTAGAGTGGCAAGTGGAGAGAGGAGAGCAAGCCTTTCAATGCCAGGCTGTGATGACCAACTGGAAACGTCACCCTTCTCTCTACATAAAGTACACTCAACAAGGAGAATAGGTTAGGGGGGAAGGGGCTCTGTTTATTTTTGCTAGACTCCCAGGCAGAGGTGTCTGGCAGGCCAAAGGCTCATGGTTCTGGAGCCAGAATGTACATCCCTTGATTGGGGCCCTGTGAACAATCAGGGTAGAGACCCTTAGTCCCCACCTTCCCCTCCTCATTTCTCCTCATAACAATTCCCTGAAGCCTGTAACAGTCCTTGGTGGGGCAGCTAGGGCCCAGATCAGCTGTCATTGAGACAGGCTGTGGTTGCCTTTCTGTTGCCCCAAGAGGCAGTGAGGAAATCCTAACTGCGGGAATCCAGTTATGATCCTGCGCTGCGAGAACATCTGAGGCTTCCCACTGCCCCCAGAGGTCAGGCTTGGAGGCACCTGGCCTACACTAGCTGAAGAGCACTGGATGACCCGGGTCTGCTGGGCTGCCCCATCCCCAGTAGTTCCAGTACACACCTTCCCAGGTGGGAGGAGACCCAGAGGCAGCCTTGGGACATAAATCCTGGGTCACTCAGGGGCCATGGCTGCACCCTAACCTGCAGCCAGCCCTTAGGCCCAGGGCTATGCTGGGGGGGGGGCACAGGCCATGGCCCCACTCCTTATCTGCTACCCCTAAGGCCAACACATCAACAGAATCACACAACACCGAGGGGGCTTGTACTGGATCACTGGATCACTGATCACAGCGTGCCAGAGTAGCCCTGTTAACCACTCGGAGAGGCTAGGAGGTCACGGTAGCCTTGCAGAAGTAGTGAGCAGTAGGCTTGCCCGGTTCCAATCCCACTCCTCCTTTTACTAGTCCTGAGACCTTGAACAAGTCACTTCAACTGCCCACCCTCAGTTTCCCCTTCTAAAATGGATTAATAACACAGACCTCGTGGCTTGGCTGGGGGCATTGAAGGGAGTAAGGAAAGAAAGCGCTGAGAACGCTGGACGCGCTGGGAACCCCGGACGCGCCGGGCGCTGCAGCCTTAGTCTGCACACTCTCTGTTCCCTGCCCTCGGGCTCGCGCTTTGGTGGAGTGAGGCGGGGCAGGCCTGGGCGTTGCTGGGGGCTGTGGCGGGCACTGAGGCCCACCGGCGGCGGACACGCCCCTTCCTTCCGCCGCCGGGCGGTGGCTGCGGGGGCGCCAGCGGGCATCCCGGGAATGCGGCGGCGCGGCTCGGGATGGGGGGAAGCCGGCCGGACCCCTCCGCACGCGGATTCCCCTCATTCCAGCCGCTTGACGCGGCGGCGGGCGG